TTAAATAAGAACGAAATCCTAGCATTTCCCAAATAAGCACCCCACCAGTCCGCTCCAAGAACCTATTCCATTCCATCACCATAGGAGAGAAAAAGAACGGGTAAGTAACAAATTATTCAGAGAAGGAGAGTCATCCCTGCCCAAATGTACACGAAACCCACAAACAATCCAACCCATGCATATATCAGATGTAGAGATAGATACAAAATGCACTACAAGAAAAAGTCAGTTTCAGACGGACAATATGGTTGAAAATTCGTCAACAACAGTTATTTCTGACGGATTTCTAACCATATTGGCTATCGGTTATAGATGGTCGCAAATCGCTACTTGGTTGGAAATCGTCAGAAAATTCTGACGGATTTTAATCCGCAACATTTCGTTGCAAAAGCCATTGGTATTGCCAACCATCTTATATGTCGGTAATTCATCGTAATGATGTTTCCAATGAATTTTCGACGGCTGAAAATTTCGACGGATTTCTAATCGTATTTGTCCGTCTGCAAAGCCGTCGGAATTTCGTGGACAATATTTGCTACATGTTTCCGACGAGTTTGTTTCTCAACGATTTCAGAGGGTTATTTTCCAGCAATTTCTACCGATTTTTTTGAATTTTATAATTAAAGTTAATATATATTATTGTAAATCTATAAATTATTTAAATTCGAAATAATTTATAAAACAAGATAATTTAAATTCAAAATCTAATATAATATAAAAATATTTTAAACATGGTAAAAAGTTGTTTAACAAAAAACTAAAACGTAATCTAAAACCGCCGTGAACATCATATCGAATAATACAAATACTTCGTCTTCATGAAAGCCTTTAATGCTTCAAGGCTTTCTTGGGTTGCGGCGAGAGTCTTTTGGGTTGTGGCGTTCTGAGCCTTCAATGTTCCAACTTCCATGTCTTTCAGCCCAAGTGCTTCTTTGAATGTTTCAACTTCTTCGAAGACTAGGAGATCCCTCGACAAAGAAGACCTTGTTCTAATAATGGAAACCCTGCTCGGCCCATCTTACCGTGTAATGGGCTTCACCTTGTTAGCGGGCCTGCCTTGTGGGCTTCTTGGTTATGTCAGCCCATTTCTCTGCTGCAGACTTGTTCTTCCCGCCTGGCAGCGTTTCTGGTCTCACCAAGTCTGCCACTGTTACACGGTCGCGCAATCCGCCTCTCCAGACATGTCGCTTCATCAGATACCGGATAGCTGGGTTTGTCCGGTCTTCTCCGACCCAGTTTCCAGACTTAACCATTTTTCATCCTTGATTTTACCGGGATGGAATCCGACCCCTACAGTTAGCCCCCCAACTCGGTAGTATCAGGTGTGATGATGCCGAGGTAAGAGTTATTGCAAAGGTAAGATCAAAGTCCTGTCATACTTGTTTCCAGGTGACTATCAGAAAACCACGTCAATCCTGAGCTTTCGTGATTACGCCAACCGAGCTCAAATTGAACGTTGCCTCCCGAGGATCGCGTGACACAAACATATTTCAGCCTCGCCTCGTCATGTTTTTGAAAAAGATTTCTTTTTAAGCCCAATGGGATTGTTTCAGTAATGGGCTTTTGTAACCCATGAATAAATTTTCGCGGTTACCGAGGCGAGATGATGTTGTCAAGTTCTCCAAGTCTATAAATATCACTCTTCTCTCCCATTCCTCTCACAATCTCATTTTCTCCACAAATCTCCAAAAGGTAG